AGAGAGAGAGAGAGAGAGAGAGAGAGAGAGAGAGAGAGAGAGAGAGAGAGAGAGAGAGAGAGAGAGAGAGAGAAGGAGAGAGAGAGAGAGAGAGAATCAATGTGGCCCACAAGCAAGATCGTGTACTTGGTAGGTCGTTGGTCAAGCCAACTCATATGCAATGCTGCAAAACAATCACAGTTGCCTCATGAGTGCTAAGCCGTTTCCTACCTTGAAGGATGCCTGGGGGTCGCCCCTTTCCATCAGTCGCATAATTATAGCAGCAGCCAAATTGAATTGTGATACGACCCTTTCCCTTCATCCACTTCCTTGGCTCGGTGTATGTCCTCCCTGTGAAAAGGATCACAAACAGGGACATGCGGCACATGCTCAGAAACGTAACTTGCAAAAAACCAAAAAAATGTGTACAAACCTAGGCTACCAGAGTGGCCCGGGTCCACTTGCCCGGCCGGCCAAAGAAAAAATTTAAAAAAAAAAAAAATTATTATGTTTTTTTTTTTTTTTTTTTTTGGTAAAGAATTTCGATGTGACCCAGAGGCAAAAGTTGTTCAGTTTATTTTTCTGCATAACATAGTTGTTTTTCGGATTTTTTGGAGTTTTTTTTTTTTTTTTGGCTGGGAGCTTTCCTGGTCCTTGCACGGCCGGGCCGCCCGGGAAAATAGGGTGACCCGGGCGGACTGGCTGGTAGCCTAGGTACAAAGTTACAAACGTGTGTGACAGTGTGTGTACAAAGCATAATACACAGACACACAACACACACACACAATCTGTTTCCCTCTTTCCTTATTTTTCCGCTTTAGAGAATTGTCATGACTTGCTAAATGTTTGCTCTGCTTCTTTTCACGTCTCTCACGTTGTTATGTGTGTGTTGCAGCTCATCTTGTCACGTGCGTAATATCTTTGTAATGCTCCCTGAAGGAAGTTTCGTTTCCACTATTTATTAAGGGGCTGCTGTGTCGATGCTGGCTGCGCGTCTATAGTGTCTCCTTGCGGTGATGGACTCCAGCCCGTTCCTCTAATGGATTCTTGACTTTTGACGGTGGCATGAACCTAAAGTCCGCATACTTCTGCCGTTCTGACCACGTGATAGTCCACCTTGATTTTGCTTAATGACCAGGCAGCTTTGTTGTCAGCTAGGCAAGTGGTCAGTTACACCATGCTGGGCCGCTGCTCGAGTATCTCACTGGGTGGATGGCTGAGCGGATAGCTGAGTTGCTGGATGTGTAATGAGTCAGATGGGTCTGTGGGTGGGCGACTCACTCGCTGTGTAGATGACGAAGGATGTCTAGCTCAGCGTTCAATTCTCCACATCCTTGTTGGTGGCTGGTTACTTGCTGACTGTGTGGACGGCTGTGCGGGCATCTGGTTGGCCGGGTATCTTGGTGGCTGCATGGTTGAATGTGAAATCAAACTCGTCTTCTTCCTACTTTGTCATGCCTGCAAACAGCGGTACAGCAACTGGCGACATGCGCCCACACAGTACTCAAGAT